GGATGTATACGGAGAGGGAAAGAGAGGGGGGAAAGTAGGAGGAAGCTCCCGTTTGTGAGGTGACATCTGGGACCGGCAATTGCGTGAGAGGTGTGAAAAGGTGAGAGGAGATTGTGGCCAGATATGAGAATGGGATATATTGGGTTAATGATGGAACAATCTCTCCTCGACTCGATTTGTCGTGCATCGCACAGCCCATCTGTCTCGACGAGGATCGATGGCATGGGATATATCACACTATACCCGGTATACAGCTGTATATTGTCCAGTCCTGGCCATATGCTTCCTCCCGTATTCCCCCTTTTTGTTATCTTCCGCAGGTATAATATAACAGAGTATCGTGAAAAAAGTTCTTTCCCTCCCCTTTTATTGCACCACTTCCGATGCGACTCCAAACACACGGGACCAGAAACACCAGACGGGAACACTATGCCACACCTTACCAATCACTATACTGAGATGAAGAATGCTCCTGTTGTCTCATACTAGGGGCCTGCTGGGGGAGAATGTTTAAGCTGCAAATATATGCACGGACTTGGGCGATGATTGCCTTAGTGCCTTTCACCATAACTCTCGTTCTCCTCTTGCTTACTTTCTGCTCCCTCTTCGCAGGTGTTCCTTGTAGGCCACGTAGGCCACATTCGTGTCATGGCATCTTCCCGAAGGAAGAAGCCAGACTTTCCTGAGTCTTGTGTCGTCATGTATTCATAGTGATGGTCCAAACTATACCATCGCTTGCAGTTACCGCAATGTAGGATTAAGGTCTGATTTGATTAGCAGAATTTATATTAAACCAAATAAGTCATCTCCTAGATCTCATCTCTGGTTTTTCATGCCCATTAAAACCTGTAGTGCAAAAACTGCCAAACTTTGCTAAGGAGTTGCTTGTAAGGCATTCGTTGACGCTCCAAGGTCGCTAGGTATAGAGAAAGTTGTACGAGTCACCTCCCTTGTGTGGTGCATTTTACAATGACTTATTGTCGCGTAGAGATAGAGGTAGGCAGGCTTATCGCCCTACAGAGCTCTTGTCCTCAAGTGTGGGTAGAAGAGGGGAAACAGCCGATAAGGCACCATCCTGCGCACCTTTGTGCCTAGATTTATGAGAGGTACTATCTTATCTACTGTTCTGTTGGGATTTGGAGTATAATATAGGGGCGTGCGGCATATGGGAAAAAACGAGATAAACTAGAGCAACGAAATTTTGTGACTCATGACAGGTATGAGCTCTCACAAGCGTAACGCATTTAGAAAAATGAGCGTGGGATCGGAATGTTTTTGAAGTTGAGACGGCCTCGTTCTACTTCTCAGAACCCGGAAGCAATTGAGCACCCTGGGACGAAATGTAGGAAACGAGGTTGGCCCATCCGAGCTTTGGCGAGGAAAGAAAAACGATTTGGCACGAACTGTTTGACTAGAGAGTCCAGATGGTCAAAGCGTGCGCCAGGTAGTTGTGAAATTGTTGACAGGGTCTTCGCGTTTCTTCGTCGAGTTGTTTTTTTTTTTGTCTTCTAACTTCATGAACCCCTTTCGTGACAAATTTTAATTCAGAGAAAGGCCTTTGTTTTCCCGGATGTGACTTTTTCCTCCCTCTCAAGATAAGAATCCTGAAAGGCAAAAGGCGGCGGAAGAGAGGTATTGAAATCAGGGTGTTTCTTTGTCTCTTGCGCCGACCCGCTGCATTCAGCAAATGGATTTTGAGTCAGAGGGAAAATATTGATCCCCGCCTGTGGACTCGGTCAACTTGGCGGAAATCTTTTCACAGGTGCCGACTGCGGCGCTGAAGAGATAGTCTCGCCGAAAGATACCGTCGGGAATGACTAGTAAAATATTCTGGAAAAAGATCTGACATCATGATCTAACTTGCCTGACTCATATCACCACAGCAAAAAAAAAAAATGCCGTCGTGCATTCATGAGGCGCGCAAATAGTATTGTCCATTGACAACTCCCCGTGGCCTAAATTCGTAAATTGTTAATAATTCCAAACCTTAAATTATTCATTATTTTTGCCCAAGGCAAAAATACCGTACATACAGAGTCTCAATAAACTCATCGAGACCTTCAGCATGGATAGTTTAGTGAGGTTCAAGAGTGACTCATCGAGCTCAAAACTCAAATACTTGATTGATCTTGATTTGGCAATCATTGCACGCAATGTCCCTAATGAAATCTTCGCACGATGCTGTACCTGACTGTAATGGACCTGTGAATCGTAGATCAATATGGCTTCAGAGGCAGCTAATTTTGAATCGTCATCGATTACCAATGAAAGTCTCCTCTCTTGAGGCATAGGGACAATTTGCTCTTCATGACTGTGATTGTCTCTCCGAAGGCACAGAATCCTAGCTGTTGTCTGTTCTCTTCGACTGATTTATATTATCTTTCATGGCTTGGCCGTCGACGAGGATGAAAGAAAAACTGCAAACCACACAGAGATGTATGAAGAGAACAAGATTGGAAATTACAGAAAAAGAAAACGATTGATTGGATCGGGGAATAGAGATTAGACCAGGACATGATGCATGCTAAAAGAGAGAAAGTGAACCTAGCCTGCTGATCTTCTAACACTAACGGGAGGCGAGCGAATGGACAAAATTAGTAACTGAATGACAACCAAAAGAGGGCATACGTTCAGGGAAAGACCAAGTAAAGGATGGAGTGATGAGAAAAAGACGATTTGAAGGGATCAAACGGATTTCAATGGCTCAGGGTAGGATGAAGTGACGTATGTACGGGAGACCTTCATTCAACAGTAGAAAGAAAATGGCAGATGATAACAGACCACCGTTGGGAGCCTTGATCTGCCTCATTCTATTGCTTAAAATGATCATTTCACAGCAAAAATGGGTGAACCAATGAATGGTTCTGAAGGTAGGGAATGCACGGTGATTCGAGTAAGAGGAGCCAGGTGGGTTTTTCTCTTCCCCGGATCAAGTTTCTTGCGATGTGCGCCTCCCACCTCAACCATAGGAAAATTCTGCGTGTTTGTGTGTCTGTGTGTGTGTGTGGAGGGGGAGGGAGAATGGGAGGGACCTGAGGGGGGCTCAAATTCCAACAGTTGGTTTGCGCTCAGAGCAGCTTGAATTCAGACGAAAAATAAAAATTGTTGGCAGGAATGTCTGTGTGATGGCCTCCATCTGAGGCCAGATATTTCAATATATTTTATAGAATTTGATGCAATTGCCTATCGGGCCTTAGCTACAGCATCAAAAATTACACCCGTTCTATCTCTTGCAATTTTAAATGAGGCTGAGAATGAAATTGAAGGGTAGAATGGAGAATGACAGTTTCAGCCAACCCTAAAAGGCGGTTGGTTTGGGAACGAAATGAAAAACGAGATTTTAGATCCACTCTCTCCGATGCTCCGAAAGAACTTGCAAAGCAGTTAAGTTTGAGAGAAAGAAAGAAATAGCAAATTAAAAATGGAATGGAATGAGATGGGTGCAATGCTGTGGATCCCCCGGCGGGACCCCCCAATTGTTAAGTTCCATCGTTATCCCTTAGCCACTGGGGAGCCATTCCCTGATCCCTGTACCGTGTCGACATGACTCTAGCTTGGTGTCATTTTAGGGCATCAAATTACCAGCTTTTTCTCCTTGCTGGGTGCTGGTCCGTACTTCCAGGGGCTCATGAGTTGAGTCAGGACCACTGGTCACTCAAACAGTAAAAATGCGCAATTACAAAACAGTTTGAAATAATACCCCTACTGCGAGAAATAATAATTCGTGATATTCTGCTTCGGCTAGATTTCAAACCCCATCTAACCAATTGAGATGTTATTTCATGGAATGCGTGTCTTCGCCTCAAGTATGTCAATGGTCGCTAACTGGTCCGAAGGGAGACAATACGTTAATTGTGACCTGTAGTTTCGCATCCGGGTGACACGCTCGCAGAGAAGATTCCGTGCTCAGCTAAGCGGGTCCACTTGTTTTAAATTAGTGTCTTAATATTTAAACATGTCCCAGCACTGTTTTTATTGCGTTTTTTAAATTATTGGTAAAGTCGAAGGTGAAGAAGACATTGACGAAAGGTGAGGAAAACTATCCTCTACGCATCGATCCACAACTTTTGAGAACGCGTTCCGTCAAGTGTACCATCTTTGATTTGGACTTCTTTCCTAATTGCTCCTCATGCAAAGTCAATGAAGGTTCTTCGTTGCATAATCCTTTGATGGCGAGCGTGAAGGTTTTCGTGACCGATTATGAAGAATATGCCTCCATATCACGCAACAGTCGATGGAATCTCCTCACAGTTGGAGAAATTGGAAATTCCAATTTTTCAAGCTGCATGACGCTGTGAAAAGGCCAGCATCCGCAGCCTTCAAGGCTTTCAGCCATAGGGTTCATTCATGTACTCGGATTTTGGATGAATTTGTCTTTAAACGCAAGTACAGCTGCGGAAACCTAGAATGCAGATTATTGTACAATCGGCGTGCTTGATCGAGGGCTCCCATTAAGATAGAGCCTCCATGACCCATCAAAAGAATGACGTGTAGGAGAAATACACCAGATCTTCATAATATCTTTCAGAAATTACAGTATTTTATTATTACATCTGGGTAGTGAATTAATTGTTCCCCGCCTTACAACTACTAACACCCTCTGATCATCACGGAAATCCTTTCGAATCTCCTTGCCTTGATACTGCTGTTTTACAGGCACTTTTGCATATGTACCTCTGATTGAACGTGCAGAGAGTGAGTAGCGCTAAGCATCTCCATGGTGTCTCTGCTCGCTTGTCAAATCCAGGATGCCCCAGGATATCGATATTGAACATCGAGCTGCTCGCTTGGTAACCTTACCGGGATGCTATATCCCCATATCCACAGCCAGAAACGGGACAAAACTCACTAAGTCAGTAGGCAAAAGCCTACTTTTGCTGATATCCGACGCCCCATGCGTAAAAGGTTCTTCCTTACAATGTACTGTGTACATGCGAGTATTGTGTGCTATTTCCTGACGATTACCCTCCACCATATGAATGCATAAAAACTCTGTATGTGGCAATAGGAATAACATTGGTTTATTGTAGGCCAATTGCAATAGGACGAAGCTGCACAGCAAGGAATCTTGGGAGTATAATATTGCAGTGATCTGGGACCATCGATCGGCTAATCCAGGCGCTTCCAGTTGCTCTCTTCTATCTCGTTATTCTGATCCGGGACAACAATTGCTTGCCAAATCAAATAATACGATTTTGAGATCTTGTGGATTTCGAGCTGCTGAAAACGACTGGTCTTTTGAACTGGGAATGTTCGCTTTGCCACTGGGGATGATCGCTGTTGCAGAGAAATCACAGGGCCCTCCAATTTGAGGCTATTTGCAATGTTCACAGAGAGCAAAAAAAAAAGTATCTTCACAGACATACTACACACAAGTGCATCGCGAACGGTTTTCAACTCAATTGATTCCTGAGTACATAAATAAAACTATATAAAAATCGAAAATACAGAAAAAAAAGAAGAGATAACACCTTTGGTCATGGCACACTGTGCGTCGGCAATATGGCATTTGATTCAAGGAACAAAGTATCCATTTTTGTTCGTAAGTCCATTCCTGGCCAGGAAAGATTCGGATCCTCATGACTTCAAAAATTGGAATGTCGAGAAGATAACCCAATCGTCATCAGGAAGGCGAATCATGTCGCCTCACAAACTCAAAATAAACGATAAACCCAACCGTGCGTCGAAGAGTCAGACAAGATATTGCACGCATTTCATCAGATCGAATGAAAACGAAGTTGCAAAAACTTCTGATAGAATGAGAAAAATGGAGAAGAGAGAGAGAAGCGAAACGGCGAATTTTTTTGTCTAGCCTCCATGCGCTGCCAGGGGGGAAATGCGGCATATCACAAATGTCGAGGGATTTATGGCACCGATGCGTCCGCGAAGTAAGAGGATGACGTACTGTAAGGGCTGGCTGGAGGAGGGAACTGATGTCAGGGATGGACACTCTGATACATGTGAGACGGGTAGTAGACGGAGGGATCGGGTGGATGGTGATTTCCCGCCATGGGCAACGAGCTCGAGAAAGGGTTGTATGCCGAATAGCTGGACATCTCGTATGGCTTCACGTCCCCTTTGCTATCTGAGATGATGCTCGTGATGGAGAAGTCCGTCTTATAGTCCTTCAAATGGCCCGTATGGGGCATAAGGCTCGCGTAATGAGGAGACGTGGACGCATAATGGAGGGAGAGGGAGTCGCTGTGTAAATTGTTCGCCGCTCCAAGGTGGGCCATAGCAAGGGAATTAGGGTCCCCGCCGAGTTCCATTTTTGTCTGCACGTCGAGCAACGGTGGCATAGTCGTACTATCGGCCGTCGTGGATATCGGCGTCTGGTTTTGATTCTGATTTCCGCTCGACGGCGGGCTCTGCAGCGAGGACGTCACTTCGTTGTTCGCTTTGCTGCTGCTGCTATTGTTGCTATGGCTTCCTCCTTTGGCCTTGTGAGATTTCTCATGCTTCTCGTGCCCTCCCTGTTGCTTTATGGTCTGTCTCACAGCCTCCTTCTTAGGGCATTTGAACCGCTTCTGTCGCCGGAGGTAGCAGCCGTTCTCGAACATGTTCCCCGAGTCCGGGTGAAGAGTCCAAAACGAGCCTTTCCCGGGTTTGTCCGGGGTTCGTGGGACTTTCAAGAAACAGTCGTTGAAGCTCAGGGAATGTCGGATGGAGTTCTGCCAGCGTTGTTGGTTTTGGCGGTAATATGGGAACAGGTCCATGATGAACTGGTAGATCTCGGATAGAGTCACCATTTTCGTGCCAGAGTTCTGAATGGCCATGGTGATGAGAGAAATGTAGGAATAAGGCGGTTTGGCGTGAGTGTAGCTCCGTCGATAGGCTTTATCGGCTGCAACCACTGGTGCAGAACTGGCCGATGTTGTTCGCGTTCTTTGAAGTACTCCACTTCCGTCAGGGGAAGCCGGTCCCGAGAGTCCCATCTCTCGGCCCATTCCCACTGAACCTGTTGGGGGGAAAAAAAAGAGAAGACATAAAGGGCTGAATGGAAGGAAAGGGACGAGAGACACTCGGCTCTCGGGAACTTTATTATTGAAGGATGCGTACAGGAAGGAGATGCCCCTCCTCATCGATTTTCTCGATCGGATTCGAAATATTGAAGGCGGGGATGTCTCGAGACTTTTCTCCCTCCCTCGACGAAACATCGACCGTTTCCCTTCGTCGGTGAGTTACCCCTTCGTTGCCGTATGTTACCCCCATGTGTGGGATACTAGGGTCTCCTGGGAACCAATCTAGCAGGTCCTAAACGGCCTAAATGACTCATGTGGCTATCGTTTCCATGTTGGGATAATGAGTAGTTAATTGTGACTGATTGGAGGGCCATTGGGAGCCATTGTCACGAGAGGGGCGAACACGCTTGACGGATGGACCCGATTTGGCTCTGTACAAAGGCGATGTAAAACCAGTGTCAGTCATGGGGTTATGCGTACGCACTCTTGGATATAATGCAGCAAATCCATGATAACCGACCATCTCCAATACCAGAATCCTACACACAGTGATAGCTGCGTGCATTACCAGGGTACAGGGAACTGGTGTTTGGATGAAATGGATTTTATTGAGCCGTAAGTGCACGTAGAAAAGAAAAACCTGTTATTTTCGCAAATGGGAAATATCTCGGAATTTGCTTCATGCAGGAGTTCCTCTGTTTTTCCCTTCTATATGGGATTCATCACATGTGTGTCTACCCATGTTGTCCATGTCGACGTGTCAGATGGGTTGCGGGATGTCGGTCGGATACGGAATACATAATATGAAGTAGACCAGGGGAGAATTTGAAGTGTGTTCCATGCAGGGTGAGGCTGAAATTACCACCACTCTACGGCATCGATCTTGTCATGTTTGCCGTATCGACTAGTTTCTCTTCCTACAGCTTTTCTGCTTCAATCCCTCTGCCATGTGCTCCGGCTGTTCCTGCTTTCAAACCCAACGGATGTGAAACCCTTCCATATATGAATGCCCCCTTTTCAAACCCCGTTTGTAGAGGAACAGAGAACCAGGATGCACCCGTATAGGTGATTGCCTTTTTCTTGTCTGTGGAAATTAATATCAGCGCGGAGCCTTTATGCAGCTTTAGGGTTATTTGGGGAGTTGGGTCCGTTGAATCTGCCCCCTATGTCCGTAATGGCTGATCCTCTAAAAGAAAATCCCCCGTGGAGAAAAAACCTGCCGATATAACCATATCTAAGGGCAGGGATATACGTAGTTTCCTGGTCTTGCAAACCCGAGGTATGCGGAGAAAAAAAAGAAGAATATTTTGCGCGATTCTTTTTTTTTCTTGAATCGTTAAGATTCAAGCGCTCCTCCGCCCTTTCCCTCCATTTACCTTTCAGTGCACCTGGCGCATGGACTGAGTGGAAATCCCTCACCATTCTCACTATACCGTCAGTCGAGTAGCTTCTAGGTGTGAAAATAGTATTCTTTCTTGGTAACACAGAGAAGTGGCGTTGATTTTGGAAAATTTCCAAAACATTCAACAAACCACCCCAGAAAATTTGCTAATTTGAGATTGACGTAGAACGAGTATATCTCGTGTGGCTCTTTAGTGAGCGCGTACCTTTCAGCATTCCTTCTTTCATTCTTTTGTTATAACGCTTCCAAGCGAAGTCAATAGAGAATTTCCACTGGAACATCTCGAATGTGTAAGAAACAATACAAAAGTCTATTTTTGCCATCGGAAAAAAGTATTTTCTAAATGGGCCCCGGTGCATAATAAAATTAGGTTCCTCTCTTTCTTTCTTTTTTCTGTACCATTACGTCAGCTGCTAAATTATGAAAGTTGAGGAAAATCCACACGACACGTCAGCACCTTTTTCACTCGCAACGACTGCATCATAACCACATTTGCCTGGATCGGATCCTTTGTCAGACACAATGTGGCGGGATGGTTCTGTCCCAATACTCCGGTTCAACTATGGACCCAGACTGACTCCAACGAGACGCACTGTTTACCGTGCACTACCGGGATTGAAGGTCAAGATCATAATTCTCCATCGAACGTACTGGTATTCCATGATTGCCATCTTCATGAATTTGCAGGATTGACACGCATTCGAACAATGGACGTTCCATTTGGGAAAAGAGAAATTCCGCCCGTTTAGGACTTTTTTCCTGCGAATTGTCTAATATTTCACTCTATTGCCAGCACCAAACAGGAAATATTGACGCTGCCTAGCAGCATTATTAAGAAATGAGAAAACGGCACTCTGAAAGTTGCATCGCTTTTCGCTCATCCACTCAAGACATTCCCAGTCAACAAGTCAATTTTGCCACTTCTCATAGGGAGGCTTCGTCGAATGTGTTGGCCTGATGCCAGATGGCAAGATATTGACGGTATTTCTCAGTATCATGAGGAAAGGATGAAATATTCACACCTGAAAGCTGCATATCGTTCTATACAGCTATCGGTAAGACATTCCTATTCCAAGTGTCTGCACCACATTCCCTGAAAGGCAGTAAAATAAAACGCAATATCGTTCGCTCAAACGAATTCCGATCAGGAGAGGCTCTTGGATGTTACGCTTTAGATTTCCGGGATCCCATTACATGACACGAATGGATGTGGTATTATTCATCCGTAATTGTAAGAAGCTTATCCATAAAACGTCCGCGATTGGTCTGGATGAAAGGGGAGCGGAACCGAATCGCGCGATTAGTTGCCGGACACCTAATAACGGGTCTGATGATGCGAGCTGACGCCCTGTTGCTCTGATTTCGCTCTCGTCTCGAACGCCAAGTCATAGTTCATGCCTTCTTCTAGACTGGAGCAAGAAGTGGAGCGATGCTCTGAAAACGTGGTGTCAACTCGCATCTTATGGGCCGTCATTCGTCACCCGGCACGAATTCGCTCTACATGTCGCAAAATGTTAACAAATCCTTCTGTCAAGGTTGTTGCAACATCCTCAGATATAACATCCTCAGATATAACATCCTCAGATATAACATCCTCAGATATAACATCCTCAGGTATAACATCCTCAGGTATAAATACCAAATTGGCGAGGCATGCACTAGGCGATGCGCTGATGCACGTTGCGTTTCCCGAGATTGATTTTTCTTTTGTTATGTAACCGCCACAAGAAAAATCTGAAAATTATAAGAATGAAGGTAGCGTGGGCTACAGTTTGTGTACCTATTAGCAATATTGGTCGTTTTGGAGGTAATGACCGCCATTAAGTGTGATGGCAAATTGTAAAAGGCTTTCCGCTTCAGTTTATGTAGGTATGTCGTATTGTTTTGTTTTAAACATTGTTCCATCTAATTCTGGTAGATTGTGCTGCACTCTTTCTACATTATGAGATACAACCATCTCTGGTACCATACTTCAGGGTATATTTCACAGCACGGTCATAGAGGCAAACTCCCTTCCACCGTGAATATTAGTGCACGTATGGAGTGAATTATTCAAGATGGCATTCGGATTCGTGGGAGGTCTCGGTCCAAAATGAGAGATCCACGAAAGTAGAAAAGTGGGGGGCGGAACACCGTCATTTGTGCGGTCGTGACGGTCGAATGATGCGAGTGAGGTGCGAAAAATCCATCACGCACCACAATTCGGTCGTGCTTCGTTCTGTCATTCCACCTGGCTTGCGTGAGAGTCTATGCAGGGTATTGCAGCAAAAAAAGAAAAGCTTTCCACTTGGAACTGCTGTATCGCCGCTCTTAGTGAAGACAAATTTCAAGAAAAACGCACTGTACACAGAGCGACAATTTTCCAAGATCTGTAAAATTTCATCCACATTGGCTTTGCCAGACTGAGTTTTTTCAAGATATCAACATTATTAAGATTTCAAAATTTGAAATTGAACGGACGTAGCATTCCCAAAACCATATACCACAAAAGACCAGCCGAGAGAATGAGTTTGAATTCGATGTCTCGAACGCGAAGGCGTTTCCTTCCATCCGCTCGCGACTTGAACTTCCATCTCCTTGCAATATCGGGAAATGTACGAAAGTATAGCCTTGCTTTTGAAAAACGAATTTGAATTAAGTTTTCCGCGTATCTTAGAGAGGGTGCACAGTCCATGTTTCGTGAATATATCTTCAGTATCTGCGCTAATGTGGATTCATATTATTTTGCCATCCAATGCACATGTAGGTGGTGGAAACGTGTCTTTGCCAGTTGTGGCGATGGCCGAAAGAGGAATCCATATGCACATTTACCTTTTATGGCAGATTGTTTTTTTTTCTCTGCTGCGCAAGGTAATGCATTGTTATGTAAAGGAGCATTTTAAGAAATACCCTCCGCACCATTCGGTCCTAGATTGGGCTCAAGTGCTGCATTGAGATTGCAGACTGGTTCGATATGCCAGAAGGCACGTGCAGCTAAAGAAAGTATTTTCTGCTGCTACTTCTCCATCTGCTCGACCAGGCATTGTTCGTACATGGTTGTGACTCGTGAACAGCATCAAATCTGAAGACAAGACATTATTCGTGCGACATGTACGGTCTTGTCCGATTTGTCTCACTCATTCTCTCGATTCTCGGCACTTCTCTTGGGTTCTCCGTTCAACGGCAAGTTAGGTTGAGCCGGCATGAAAATCCAAAAAAAAGTGATGGAAAAGCATAGGACACAGGAGTAACTCTCGGAAAATTTTGCTAACTTGTGTTATTGTTCACGTGTGCAATTTGGGCTATCTTGACTCTTGACTCTCACTTCTGCGTCCATTTTTTTTTGCAACTGCGTCCTTTGTCATATAGTCCATGATCCGACCGTCAGGTCTGAACAATTCACCTCAAGCAGTTTTACCGTTGACACGCATCCCCATCCCCAATTTAAGCAAGATCTGTTCGAACAATCCCTGACCTTCCAGTTATGCCTATTCTTCCCGTTTGGCTTGCTGCCGCTGTTTGCGAATTCTTCATGCGTCAATTTGAGGAAATGGAAAATATCTCTCTGTGATGAAAATGATGCGAATGCAAGGTGAACTAACCAGTGAGTGCGGAATTGATGTTGTTCATGGAACCCATACATGATCCCATGCCCATGTTGTTGGCTCCATAATGAGATCCCATAGCACTTCCGACAGACGGTGACATACACTGTGCGTTTACGCCCATGCTCATGCTGACGTTCGCGGCCGCTCCGAGTCCCTGTCGCCCGTACGTGTCCATCCCGTAACCGCTGGTCATTCCATTCATGGAAGGTACACCATATGCGGGGGCCATGCTTGCAGTACTCATCCCAGACGCCCCCGTATCCCCGTACAGTTTCTGAGGGAACATTCCCAATTCGGAATACATGATCCCGGCGCAACAAGTCAGTCCCGCAGAGCACTTAGCATTCACGGTCCACAGACGGAGATTGTTGGCTCACAAAATAAGACACCCCATAGAGCGGGGAACGCTCTACCACTTCGGTCTATGTTCCTTTCGAGTAATGGAAAGGACAAACACGGATCTTCCTGCAGTCGGCTCACGTGAATCTCTCCCTCCTCTCTCTCTCTTCCAGAAGGTAAACTTTGCACTCCTTTATCAATGAATAAACTGTTCTCAACAGCCGAGGCTGGAATATAAAATACCGAGTGATTAGAGGTGACTGCAGGTAAATATTGGATTTGGGGGCTCCACCTCCCGAGTGAGGCGATTTGCTCAGCTCTCTCTCCATTCCTCCTCCCATTGGTGGATGCGGATCCCCTTACCCCCCCCCTCGTTTCCATGGAGACCGCAGGAACCCCCCCCCCCCCCCCCCCCCCTTCTCGGCACATGGGCACATAACTCGCTCTACGCTGTGACGTCAGGAAACGGGAAATCGTAGGAGTGCAATGATAAGGCTATTGGAGATTGACGCATGCAAATGAGCCTGGGTTTTCCAGCCAGGAAATGAACACCTAGGAGACCACGAGGGATAAAGGCCTACGGAGGAGCTGTCCGTTGAATCTCGCCTCGTTGTCAGGGGATTTTTCTTCGCTTCTTTGGAGCCAAGAAAGGCATAAATGATGCTATTCTAGCGTTGAATCTGCCCGATCATGGTTCTTTGTGCCGGCTAAGCTCGAATGAGGTGGAGACCCACTGGTGGCATGGGCCCAGGTGGAGAGAGATATTGAGAGCCACTAATCCCACCCTAATTCCTCTCGGGGTCAAAATCCAAGGGAGAGAATACAGCTAGACGAAGGGAAGAAGACAGGTAGACGAAGATGCCGCTAACTCAAGGCTGAATCTCTCTAAGGCAAAGTAAGCGGAGTTCATACGGGAGCTTGAATTTGAATTCCGTAATTGCATTTCCAGTTCAATTGAAACTTTTGATAGCCTTGACCGTGAGCATTCAAAAAACAGTATATACACTGAAGGGGAGTCTTTTTTGCTCCTCTCATTTATGTATTTATCCATCCAACACTTTGAGGAGTGTCAATGTCGGGAGCAGGGTTTGTATACCGGTTACACAGATACGCCATGCACACAAGATCAACTTCAAACAGATCCAGATTGAGAGGGAGTCAATGGGACCGTGCCAAGAATTGTTTGTGTTGCATTACGGCTGCGTCCATGTTTGCCTCGGGCTCATAATCCTCACAAGTGATAAAAGAATCAAAAGATGAGCAAACACCCCACCCTGAAGGTTCCGTTTGTATGTGTTATGTGAGCAGAGCACGCAACAAGTTAGTCGTGGACAAACAGCGACAGCCTCTTTCTTTTGTGGCGGAGACATCTAGACCTACACCTTGAGCCCAGGAAGGGGTACTCCAGCCTATCAATTCAGCCCAAGTCAGTCTGCAGCGAATGAGAAGAACTTTCTGATTTCCTGTCGAGATGAAGTGCGAGCTCCTTTAGCCCTTAGAGGCCAGAGAGGGGGGGAGGGGAGGGGTCTTTATTCGCCATGCTGGGAGCTCTGTGCACGCTCATTACGCGAATTGGTGGAGCCCTCCAACAAAGGAACGGAAACCATAAAGTTGAGGGAACGTGAAAAATGAGCAGTACTTGCTCGGGACTCCTATGAATATTCCCTCTTTCGTCTCCCCTTTTTGCACAACACCAGTACTGTACCCTTGGCGTCACTCACTTTCACCCTCCTTTGCCCAATTACGCTCTTTTATGGGGAGGGGGCGATCCCTCTTCCCTACGGATTCAATTTATTAGACCCGGTTTTACGACGCGTTTTTTCCTGCTTCGCTTCTCTCCCCCTCTCTTCTTTACATAAAGGATTCATTCAGAGCACCTACAATGTAAAATGCATGGGCCAGGGTTATTATAGGTACCCGACGAACCCCCTCGTAAATCGCCAAAGTGCTGGATCCCGTTTTGTTACCTGCATAAACGATATTTCGGGCCTACAACTGCGTTGTACAACCGAGATAGGCCTAACCGAGGCTTATTTCCCCGTCTTGCTGCGGAGTGAGACGGACTGCATTTAACTGAGAGGGGGGAAAAAAGGAGCGATGACCTACAGCTATGCGAAAAAGCTCTGGTATTTCACTCTTCATTCATCCTCTATTCATTCATGACATTAAAGTCCCAGAGGTCGTGGACCCCTGAAATTCACCTCTAATGCCTCCTCAAGAAGGGGATTATACTCTGGTGTGTCCCTGGGTGATCAGATCACCCCCATTGGAAGACAGGGAGACAGACAGGGAGACAGCTTGGCGCCGCTAATCCCTCTCTATGGAGCTCCTCTTATGACCGTTTTGGCCCCTCGTTTCGGATAAAAAGAAAAATCCCCAGATTCTCATAGAACGGAGAGGAGCAACTCCAGCGGAATGGTCCTTTATTTCGAGACGAAGGCCTCTTCCGGAGGATTCGAGTCGTCGGATGGAACGGCGGATGAAAGAAGGGTCACATGCAGAACAACACAAGTGGGCTGAAAGTGTCACCAGGCACGGGTGGCGGCGGTGGTGTGTGTGGGGCATAAAAACAGTCTTTCGTGTTCTATAGAGAAGGGATTCGCTGTATATCCCCCATTGATATAAGGGACGCTCGATACAAGAGACGAGTCTCTCTCTCTCGTCTGAGTGACAGCAATTCTCCTCTCACAGATCATCCTTCCATCCATCCCCTTTTCCTCTTCTATTTCTACTCCCCATGCACTTTTTCCTCTTTTTTTTTTAGTTTTCCTTTTTTGCCCTGTACGGCCATGGGAGCCATCAGCAATCCGGTTTCCTTTCAGGAACTCGGGCTCGCATTTTAGTGCGAAAAACCACGCCTCGTCTCTGACGCGGATGAGAAGTCTGGTCCAAGTGCAATACCCTACCACACCACGGAGAGGATCCTTTCCTTCCCCGTCGTTTTGTAGCATGAAATCGTAGTCAAGTTATGTCAATCCATCTCGTGACGACGAAACCGGAATAAGATGAAGAATCCATCGCTTTGAAAGTGTCGCGTGTATACGTCTCTTCAGAGGAGCCACTCGAGTGTCGAGGAGTCCCTTTGGGAACCCATTCCTTTTCATGTTTTATTCAGCCGCATGGAAACCACCCATCGCCATCTGCCCTTTCGTTTTCTGCGTTGTTTTCCGCCTCTTTTTCTCGGCCGTTTCCCATGCACGGCATTATGCGAACGGAGCATAACCCGGAACCCTTTCATCGGAGACAGTTGTCCAAACAGTAGGAATGGTCATTTCCTCATTCCCCATTGATGAGATTTCTCACATACTAACTGGATTTCCCGCCCTCGCATTGCCTTCCCATTGACTCGATCTCTCCGCCTGCCCATTACGGCCATTATACCCCCAGCTGGACAGCTTCTTTTCTCCCGTTTCCTGGCCAATATATAGGTATAGACTGTTGTTAGATCGAGCATTTTCGCTTATTCTTCCCATCACCTCAGACCCTTACAACGTCCACACCTATTTAACTGTAACTTTGAGTCTTGCGTGGATAAATCTGAAGGTGCGATCTGTGAACTTCGTCTTCTTTAATGTTTTCCCTTCGAGGGGCCGAATTTCCCGGAGGACGAATTAGAATTTCATTTTCACTGCCCAGATCTTTTTATTTCTCCAGATTTTCTTGCCTCGACACGGGAAAGGCGAGATTCTTTTCGAACCATATGTCCCGCTGAAGTACATAAATGAAGGGAGTGATCAGAGCTTCTCCAATATGTTTAACCATCACAGGAAATCCTGTGACCCGATGTTACCTCGGTCTCTATTTAATACAGTATGTCGCCTTGCGGTCTACATCTTCAAGGGTTGGTCCTTGGGTTGGTTCTATTCTATGGACATTACAATAGTTCCACGTTTTAGATGGAAGGTTTGCCTTGAGCTCGATGGAATCAATCATTGAAGTGGTGACCATTGGGCTCAACTCCACATCCTAGTGCATCTTACCCATTCAAAACACTAAGCATGAAATGATAACTTACTGCAGACAACCCCGCAAGTTAGCACAAGTAAATACCCATCGCAAAAGCGTAAGAGGAACGACCCAAATCAGAAGATGCGATAGGCGAGGAGATATCTCGATAGGAATCGACGGAATTGGACTCCAACGGGAGTTATCTGACCAGAGTGAAAACCATGGAAACGGTTTTCCACAATTCCATGAACCGCGGTGAAGAGAAGGTGTCTTCGTGTCTTCGTGTCTTCTCTCGGTCCAAACGGAAAGAAACGCCTTGTCCAGGGGGAATGGAGAAAAGCTGATGCACGGCGATTCTCCGACTGCAGACAATAGGTCTGATCGATCTCCATTATTCGGGATAAATCTGGAGACACGGGCCTTGACCCGGTAATCAGGATGACGAATTACGGGGACAAAGGGGACCCGGTGACTTGGCCATAATGGGAGGATGGGGGATATCGTTGACAAGGCTGAAAAATGGGCTTTCCCCCCACACAGGGGGTGGTCCCATAGAGACCTCAGTGATTCCCATCGCACGCCCTCAGACATGCATTCCATCTCACCATTGATATTCTATACGACAGTTTGGGTCGGGGTTATGCCTATTGTGGGGAAAAGTATGGTCCTTCCTGTCGATGAGATCTCACGGGGATCCCGCTTTTGCTAATTTAACGAGTCCCACCGGTTGGAAAAAGAACCGAGTTGCGACGGAAAATCATTCGTGGAAGTGAAATAGCCTTATCCATCGCCACCCTTTTCCTTTTGTCATTTCCGAAGAATGGAATGCACATCTCTCTTTTCACGTCCTCGGCGATCGTGGCTTTTCCGTTCTCGGTTGCTTTTTTTCCCCCTCTCCCCTCTGTATTTTACTGCACCAGGAAACTTCGCCGATGCACGAACCAATAATCTGGGCCGATCGTTTCTGACGGAAATCAAACAATATCGAGCCCATAATGATATAATGTAGGAGGTCAGGTCCGTCCACTTGACTCGGCCATCCGTAATTATGATGACCTGCATGTATATTTCCTTTTTTCCCCCTTCCATAAACAATGTCGAGACGAGAATGGATGGGAGAATCGGAGGCAATTTCAGGGCTGGCTGATCCACGCACGCGTCGGCTCACGTGCCTCTAATCTATTCTGCCATATGCCGTGTCAGGCTTCCATATACACCCCAAATATGAACACCGACATTTCCCATAATCAAATGCGACATTTCTAGTGGCTTTTTTCCCTGCAAGGTTTCCATATTTTCCCATCTCTG